TTTTTATTAAAATGTCTTAATTAAAGAAATAATTACTTCAAAATTAATGTTACCATGTAGTTGTTAATTTATAGTTGAGATTTTGAACTAATCTCAAATTTTAAATTAATTTGATTACAAATTTTTTAATAATAAATACAGAGTATCTTTTGAAAAATATGATTAATATTTGTTTAAAATACATGAACTTCTCATACAAATATATATTTTGAAATATCAAAGAAATCGCCAAATCCAAATACTCCTATAATTATTTAAAATTAATGGATTTCTAAATTTCAAACATATTTTAATAGAGTCATTAATGGCTAGTTTGAAGCCATTTTGAAAATTTGGCTATTTCATCAGTTGTAATTATCAACACATTTTAAAAACATTCCGACGAAATAGATGGAACGGGGGAGAGTTATACGTGGATGTAATTTCAAATTTCTATAGACTATCAATTACAATTATAGCGGAATGTTGTATTTTAGTTTCGATTTTTGCCGACATTTGACATCTTAGGTATTGTAGGGCTACTAGTTCAAAGAGTAATTATCTCAGATTGGACTTCAAACACAGCATTCATTCGGAAACAAAACTTTTGGGAAAGAATCGACAAACATTCAAAGCCATTACTAAAGCCAAATAAGAGACCATCACACGTTTTTTTTTTTCAGAAATATTTTGTCAACTCCTATAGAAAAATTGCAATATATCAACCATCGCACCTTCTTCTTCGTAAATTACATTTCTGTTGAAATTATACTCCCCGAATAAAATGCAATCCTTCTTACAGGAAATATTTTTTTAGTTATTTATTTTTTGATTTTTTTCTACTTCCCATTTGTATTTTCAAACATTGCCATAGTTTTACGCATCCTCTCCATTTTGTTTCATACAATGTTGCTATTGTTGGGCGTCTCATGCGAGGCTGGATGGGACTTTGTCCGGGTGAATGTTTCTGCGTGTCTTATATGTTATGGCGGTTTTTTTGTACGTTAATATAAACATTTTACGAGCCTGAACAATGTTGTTGCAAAAAAATCACATACACCAAACCAGCCTCTCTGCCAGACAGCAGCAATGCTGCAAAATGAAGAGCTGTATAAAAAATTTATGCGTTACAATTTTTTCAAGTTATTACTTTAGTGGCTTTATTTCCGTTTCCCCCCTCATCCTCTTCAAAACACAACAAAACAAACGGATAAAGAAGTACACACACACAAAGAGGCAGACAGGCACGCACTCATTGTTACATTTAAATGTAAAATTGGCTATATGAGCGTTTGTACAAAAGGCATATCCTTTTGAAGGATATCATCGTCATCATCATCCATGGCATGGCTTGAAATGGATATGGCCCAGTAACAGAAATTATGCTCGAATGAGTGCAAAATTAAGACCAAAAGCCGGGTGCTCGTTCATTGCGTGTGTATTTATTAACACGACATTGTAGTATTACACACACACAAACACACGCACACATTTGCCAAATAAATAACCGAGATTCACAGAAGAAAGTCCTTCATTTCGCGTTTTGATTTTTTCTTTAAGGGCACGACGAAATCGTAAAAATAAAAATAATGTGAAATGCCAAGAAGAGTGTGTGTTAAATGTTGGCAATTTAATAGGCCGATTGTTTTAAGCAAATTTATTGTTGCAAATGAGCGATGTGTGTGTGTGTTTTTCTTTTGCTTTGAAATGCAGCAATTAACAGTTACAACCAACTTGGTGAATTTGAATGAAATTGCAAAGAGGTTTGGTGTATGAGTTGTATTGCTAATCTTGGTGTTGGACAACAACAATTTGTTGTTGTAAATAGAAAAGAAAAAATTACTTTCTTCGTCTTTTCCATTATTGCGATTATTAACTGCAATTAATGGTCCCACCGATTCAAGGCATAAAAAACCATACACAGTACTTTGAATCCTGCATTAGATAGACAATAAAACCCAATAAAATGTATGGTTGCATTTTTGAGTATTTCTGTCAGTTATTAGGCCCAGGAATGACATGCGGCCATATTCATGCCCATCTAATCAAGCAAATTATCTAAAAAATATTATGAATTGTGAATCCTTTTCCTAAACACGCATTTTTAATGTGTATTGATGTGGTCTAACTCTCAACTTTTAGCACGTTCTTCTAGGTTATCCTTGAATATAATTGTGGTCCAAACGTTTTTGTTTTGATTTTTTTCCTTCTTCTTCTAATTTCCATAAATTATGGAAATAAACAAACAAACACATATGATGGTATGTAAGAAATCCTCTCAACAGACATCTTACTGCTATGTGTGAGTGCAAAGATTTTATTCTTTGCAAGTGTGTTTTCTCTTGTTTTCTTGCTATAATTTATTTTGCATATTTTATACAAAAAATGATTTCGTCTTTTGTTCTTGTTGCTTTAACACAGTGCCACAATTTTACCATGTCCTTGATGTGATCCTTACAAGTAATATTCAGGCAAGCAGGCAGGCAGTCAGTCATTCAGTCAACCAGTCTTTCATTCATTCATCTATCTATTTATGATGAGTGTGAGTTGATGCTCTAGGCAGTGACAGTGGCAATAGCATACCAATATATATATATATGAATGATATATGGGAGTGTGTGGGTTGCTGTCTCTCAATGTCTACATGTTGGGGACTTTGTGTACAAGGATTTAATGGATTCCCGAGAAATGCCATGTTAATAGGTTGTTACATATAATTTATTATTTATAATGCTATTCGGATGGGAGAATGTGGAAAGACGGCCTTTTTGCAAATTCCCATTCAAAAAAAAAAAAAAAATATACTTTTTTTGAAAACAAAAATAATTTCATTGTTTATCGTCTTGGTCCTCTAATTTTAAGAATAAACATGTGCTTTTTTTCTGAACTCAAAAAGTAGTTAATGTGTTTCTTTCAATAAGAGACTGATATCAACAAAAGATCGACAATTTAATAATAATAGTAATAATAGCAAGTATCTTTAAGCATTGTGTCAAAATATAGAAGAAAAAATTCATAAAATATTTTTAATATAGATATTTAAACAACAATTGAGGTCGGTATTTGGCGAAGTTATTTAGTTCCAAATGCTACTAAACAATAACAGGATGATTGTAAAATTTTAAGACCTCACTGGTTTTACTTAAACATAAATATAAAGTTGGGCACCATAACAATAACTACATTTAAAATATTTGGATCTAAAATAGATTTCATTTAATTCTATCTTTCCCACCATAAAGGTATTTAGAACACCAATTGATGCTATAGGTTTATAGCCGCCACGTCGTATAAACCAATCTCTCTCAAATAAACAAAATTCCGTTTTATAAATATTTATCATACTTTCCTTTTCACCTAACAATAACAAATGTTCCAAGAGTTAGTGTTTCCTTCATTAAAGGTAAACATTTACTATTTGTGGAAAATAAAAAAAAAATAAAATATTAATGGATGAACACCCCTGGTGTTATATCCACACACATACCTACATACAAATCTTGCTACAATTAGGTCTGTTGAACTCTGAGATTTTTATCTTTATTTTCTTTGTGGTATTATCTTTTTTGTTGTTCTTGTTGTTGTATGCATTTATTGCTCGAGTTAATTAAAACACAACATTATATAAATTATATAAACAACATTCTAAATGGTAAAATACGTACGTATGTATATTTATAGGTAAACAGAAAACTAAAATTCCCTGAGAGGGTGCACCTTGTATTATAATTCTGAAAACCAATGCAAAGGCTAGTCAATTGCGGGATTTTTTGTTTGTTTTTTGAGAGAATGTGTTCATAGAAGTAGAGCTTTGAATGGTATATAGCTATTACATACTTGCTTTCCGGGCTAGATCGTTCTATAGAATCTATATTTTATTTCAAAAAGGTACACCTATTCCAGGAAAATTTTCCCATTTTTTATGGAGAATTTCCCTAAAATCTAAAACACATATAAATGCTAAAATTGAGGGTGATGCTATAAGGGCTAGTATCTAACCATATACGTCCATTGATAGATTTTGCGATAACAGCGAATTTGGCTAAAAAACGTGGTCAAAATCATCAATATTGTGGAAATGGGAGTTACACCCAAAAATGGACCAAGAAATGGACTGCAAAAACATACACTTAGCAACCCGGTTTGAAATAAAAAATTCGGTTTGGAAATTTGTTTAAAACATTAAAAGTATCGATAGTCGGAGAGTGGAGGTGGTGTAACGTCATATTGGCTATACGTTGATCGTTAGATCCCATCTTGCAACTTGATTGCTGACAAAAGACACGTATATACAAAATTTAAGCACTTATTGCAACTCTTTCCGAAGGACACAACGTCAGGCCATAGCTAAATCATCCCAGATGTATATCCTGACAAGGATCTAAAATCATTATATCGAGGCTTTAAAAACGGAAAGTCAAACCTAATATACTATAAAAGAAATTTTATTAAAATTGTATCCCTAACATAATCTATGAAGTGTATAAAAAATATATCCCTAACCTAGTTTTTGAAAATCAATTTTTTTAGACAATTCATTTAAAAACCTCAACGATATTTATCCCCGAAAACTAATTTCAAAACTATTACTGCTAAACGTTTAGCAATAAAAACTATTTTTAGAACGGAGAACAAAAAAACAACAACGTAAAATAGAACTTTCTAACATGGACAACGTATTCGAACAAATAATCAGAACACAAGCTGAACAGTGGTAGTGTAACACCGACCAGCTTGAAATTGCAAATCACGTACACCACACGCAACACACTCACTTACAATGTCTAGAAAGCCAATACATTCAATAACAGTAGCTGTAGCACCAGGCTATAAATATAAGTTAGAAAACACTAAAGTAAAAAGGTTTGTTGCCCTGTCGCTCAATGAACGAACAGCAACGAACAACACCAACACCAGTAGTCAGCAGTCTGTTGCTAACTAACTACTGCTGTTGTTGCTGTTACAGCCTGCAATCGAATAATGTTTGTCATAACAAATTTGCTACAAATCCCAGTACTCACCGATCAAAAAGTATTTCCAAGTTGCCATCCTGTTAGACGTATAGTCCTCCCAAAGTACTGGTCACACAGCAGCTATTGTAGAGTGTAAGAGAGAGAGGGTGCGTGCGTAAGCCGAGTGATACTCCTTATAAAAAGTATCACAGTGATTTGTTGGTGTTGTTGTTGTTGAAAAAGTTATAAATTCTGTTTGCAGCAGACTCTTTTTTTTTGTATGGACGTTTCTGTCGATGACGACGACGATGGTGTTTCGTTGGTATTCGCCGCGAGTTGGTCCGTTTGACGGAATTACAATTGTTATTTTCAATCAGTCGTAGGTGGGTTAGTTAGTTGATGACAATGTGGTTGGTTGTTGGTTTTTTTTTTTTTTTTGTTACCCGCCAATGGTGACAACAAATCTGTGCGTTCTGTTGTCGTTGCGACTGAGTCGTTTAAAACTTTTATTTTTCTCGAATTTTTGCACTTTATGTGAGCTTTAAATTAAATTGCTTTAAAAAATATATTGCACTTTTTTCTCATTCTATGATGTTATTTTTTTGTGTTTCACTGAAATATGTTTCGATTAGTTTTAGTTATAAATGAATTACGTTATACTGTAATTGTTGTTGTTACGCGACAGATAGGAGGAGAAAGAAAGAAATTGTTTTAGAAAAGTAATCGCTAAGTTTTTGAAGACATCTTGCTGAGATTTTCATTCTTTTTTTGGTGTGTACATTGTAATGGTTTTCACTTGGGATTGTTGTATGTTATTGTTGTTGCTGGTGTTATTTGCAAAATCTTAAGTTTTGAATGCACTTTTTCTCATTCTTTATTTAGGTCATGTTTGTTGCTTCCTTAAAAAAACGCTGTGGCACAAAACAACGCTGATGTTGGTTATCGGGCACAAATGCAATATTTTGTGGCAGGCAAGCAAACAAGCCAGCCAGCGATAAAGGAAAAACAAAATGGCTGTTCGCTTGTGTTTTACGGCGGCACCCCTTACCACACTTGGTTTTTAAGGGGGTGCCGAGATCACCGATCGTTTAAACTGGTCTTAAACTTGTTGACTTGTTGCTCGAGACTCTCTTTGTTGCATTTTATATTCTTGATTCTCTTTTGTTCCACACATACACACACTCAAACCAATCTAGGAATGCACACAAGAACTTCTGTAATCTGAAAAAGGGAAATGTAAGAAGAAAAAAAGAATACATTAATTATGTTGTAGAACACATATAGACGCATACATGGACAGATCTTGTAAGAAGTATCACTATGGTTGGTTATTCTTCATGTTCTTCATCTCCTCCTTGGTTACTTTGTCTTGTTGCATTTGTTGGCTCAAACTAAAGAAATGCTAAAAAGCCATGACTGCACACACACACACTTGTACATGTTGGAGAGCCAGGTAAAAAATCGTCATCGTTATTAGTCTTATAAGACCAGCAGCTATTGCTATTAAGGAGTCCCAAAGGCAAGCGATAGGAGGGGGAAACAGAATTTAGGGCTTGTTTATGAAACAACAGCCTTTATCAAGGCATACAAACAACGACAGCAGCAGCAACAACGGTTTGGCCATCAGAGTTCATGTTTGCTGAGTTTTGTTGAATACGGGATTGTCAGGCTTTAATTCCAGTGCATTTGTATGTGTTTTTGTTGCAATGCGCTTGGAAGGCTTCAATGGTGGTAACAGAACACCAAAGTAACCAGCAAGCCAACCGCGGCAGCGAACGTGTTGTCGCTGTTCAGCAGTGTTGGGAAAAGCGACGCCATGACCAGGCCAGGCCAATACAACAACGAGTCATACCAGGTTAGGCTTCCAAGAAGCAGTTTCACTTATGCTGAACTCTGTTTTGTATATACATATCTATGTATATACATGCATATGTATGTAGTTTCTTGGATTTTTATCTCTCCTTTTTTCTGATTAGTTGGTACTATCGCTGAGATATGGTACTACACTGTTGAAAATTTGTCACATATTCGGGGAAATGGAAATGTTTAACCGGTATACTAGTGGGTTAACCGGATGTTTGAAGGTCTTTGTGGAAGTTGCCTTGTGGGAAATGGGAAAGTGTCTCTTTTTAATTTTTGTGTGAAATGAAAAGTTGTCAAAAAATAAAACTTTCAATTTCATAAGAAGTTCAAAGCCTATTTATAAAATTTTTTCCAGAACCTACAGTAATGCACAAAGTTTTACTTCGATAACAGTTTTTAATTTATGAAAAATTATACAAAATAACAGATACTTGTAGTTCGAATGTAACCAATGGAATGAATCCAAATTCAATGTTTTATACATAATCGTGGGGTTCGTATGTAGATGTAAATAAAAAATATCCAATTTTAAAATAAAAAGTTATTAACCGAGAATTTGTTACATTAGAATCCACATTTCACTATTTTATATGTGCTTTTAATAACCCTAACTTTGAAACTATTCTAAAACCCAAACCATAAAATTATAAAATACTTTTTTATCGTTTTCCCAAACTAATAACTTAATCCCTCTTCCCAGATCGTATTATGACAAGTAAGTCAAAAACCAGTTCCTGCCTTCAAAGGGTTATACATAAAACGGGGGTGCCATAGTCCCACATTAGGTGGATAAAATCCAAAAGGAAACCTTTTATAATCTATTTTGTCAGTTTAAAAATCTAAAACTAAATTATGGTGACACATTCGACATCACAATGATTATCAGATATAAAATTTATTAAAATTGTTGAGGGGGTAACTATTCGCAAAATGCATTGAAAAGGGGATTTCAAATACTGTTACTTACAATTCTCGAACAATATTCACATTTATTACCTTTATTCCAACCCCTGTGTGGGATTATAAATCAGGACAACCAGAATTGAGGATTAAAATTGGTAATAATTTTTGTTTGTTCCCAGGTAACTGTGAGGGGTGGATTATTTCCATCACAATGTATCATTTGTTGTCAATACATGCGCCATAAAAATTTATAGATTGGACATTTTTGCAAAAACTCATTTGCTATTTGGGGTTGTTAAAACAAATACAACTACTAATGAGTGGCATTAGTTGGCAGTGCAGTGTGGAAAGAAGTCAAACTATGAAGGGTAAATAAACATAAATATGTCACAATAAAATAAAATAATAGTGCAAATCTATATTTCAAAATAGAACAAAACGTTTGAATGTGTGGAACATGCGTCTCGAACAAGTCGGCAATGTTTTTCCCCTGAAATCTTTTAACATGACACTCGAATAGATTTGTGCCAATAGTAGATTTGCTCTGACATAAATGAAAACATTTTACTGATTGTCTTCACAAAGAAATAAAATTAGTTTGGTATCATTATACTGAACAGAAGTCAATACAATTGTTCTAATGATGTAAATCGGAAGTCAGATAATAACCATAAAAGGAATAATGGAAACTGTGTATTGACCAATTTCAAAAGCTTATAGAATATTCGTTGGAAAGTGTACACGTTTAAACATGGACAATTCCATGTCGAATGAATATGTCCCCAAATAATGTTGCATTTTAATATATCCTGTAGTTGAAACCCACGATTCGGATCTAGCAGCTGCCCTTATTGCTTTGCTAAATCATAAAAATCTATTGTTCCGCTAAATAACAAGTAGGCACATTTGACAAAAATGTACATATTTAGTTGTACAGATTCAATATGCTTATCCCAGTAACAGTTACTTATTCTTCCCGATTTAATCTAAAAAACGCTAGAACTGATATTAAATCATTTTTAAAATGAGTTTTCACATCTTTTATTTTAGTTCAATAGAGGCAATTACATCCAGAAAAAGTTGCCCTCTTTGGTCCGAAGGTGTGATTGGACCTTACTTTTAAAAACGACGATGGAACGATTGCCATCTTAAATTCGAAGCGTTATGGTCATATTGAAACCGATTTTTTGACGGCTATTGAAAGCGACTTGGATAATTTCCTGGTCGCGTAATTTCTCGTCTTGGCGATAACAACCCGCCACCAAGATCAGCGATTTGACACCATTTCACTTTTTTATGGGGATACGCGAAAGACAGCATTTATCCAACTCGTGAGCACTTGGACACTAACATTGTTCAGGTTATGGCTAAGATCCCGCCCAATATGTGTCAAATAAGTGGTCTAAAATCACCTAAAAATAGTCAATGCTTGCAACAGTTCGCGTGAAGATACAGTCGTTCCTGACTTACCTGCACAAACATCACTTGTAATTATTTGTTAGCAGGAAAGTCAAAAGTGCAGATATATTAAATCTGTTACCTGCCTCAAAGTGTACGTAAATGAAATCACTGCATACAAATAGGACAATGGTAATTTTTCTAGAATATACGATGAACGCTAAGTATATAGCAATGTAATAAAAACTATTTTTTAAAAGTCCAAATATTCTGAGCTTTTATCTTAAATGTGCAGGTATGAATTGTGCGGTTAACGAAATATTTGAGAGGGAATCTGAGAAAAAAATACCAAATATGTGTATTTTGGGCAGCTAATTCTAATGTGTAGCTATGAACAAAGCAGCTAAATCAAAACTACTGTAAAACATAACTAAATATTTTTTGAAACCACGAAATGGATAATCCTGTATTATTATACAGTATTATGATCAGGTGTATCGAGCGATTTTAATATTACTTAAGAAAATGTTTTTCTGAGCATATCATAGTTATCCATATGCTACATTGCATTTTTCCTGTAATTTGGGGCAACAATTTCATAAATTTTTATTTTAAAGGGACAGGTGCATGTCGAAATTATTTTAAAAATACAAATTTCAGTAAATATTGGTTATTTATTTTCACATCTAGCAAATGTAGGGACTTATAGTACGCTTACATTGTACTGGATTTCTTTTACCCAGTGCGTTTAAATTGTCAATTGCCAATGCTAAATAAATGCTCATAAACTGGACCGTTTCATATTTTTGTTGGATATTATTTCAGAACATTGATTTGCTTTGCTTCCTACTTTCAGCCAAATTATACCCTTTCTTCAGTTTACAATAATCCCAATGGGTATTATTAAGAGCCCGTTGTCATCATAATTATCCACAGACC